AGCCCAATACGGTTCATTAGAGCCCAATACGGTTCATTAAAGCCAAATACGGTTCATTAGAGCCCAATACGATCCATTAAAACCCAATACGATCCATTAAAACCCAATACGATCCATTAAAACCCAATACAATCCATTAAAGCCCAATACGATCCATTAAAACTCAATACGATCCATTAAATCCCAATACGGTTAATGAAAGCACAATACGGTTCATGAAAGCCCAATACGATCCATTAAATCCCAATACGGTTAATGAAAGCACAATACGGTTCATGAAAGCCCAATACGATCCATTAAATCTCAATACGGTTCATTAAAGCCCAATATGGTTCATTAAAGCCCAATACGGTTCATTAGAGCCAAATACGATCCATTAAAACACAATACGATCCATTAAAGCCCAATACGATCCATTAAAACCCAATACGATCCATTAAAGCCCAATACGGTTCATTAAAGCCCAATACGGTTCATTAAAGCCCAACGGTTCATTAAAGCCCAATACGGTTCATTAAAGCCAATACGGTTCATTAAAGCCCAACGGTTCATAAAAGCCCAATACTTCCATTAAAGCACAATACGATCCATTAAAGCCCAATACGGTCCATTAATATCCAATAAGGTCCATTAAATCCTAATACGGTTCATTAAATCCCAATACGGTTCATTAAAGCCCAATACGGTTCATTAAAGCCCAATACGGATCATTAAAGCCCAATACGATCCATTAAAGTCCAAAACGTTCCATAAAAGCTCAATACGTTCCATGAAAGCCCAATACTTCCATTAAAGCCCAATACTTCCATTAAAGCCCAATACGATTTATTAAAACTCAATATTTCTATTAATGCCCAAAGCGATCCATTAAAGCCTAATACGGTTCATTAGAGCCCAATACGGTTTATTAGAGCCCAATACGGTTCATTATCCGCCGGAAGTGGTAAATTTTTTTAATAAAATTATTTAAATATCCGCCGAAAATGGTTTATTTCTTTTTTTAATTTTTTTTTAATCTTCCGCCGGAAATGTTAAATTTTCAAAAAAAAAATATTTATTTTTCCGCCGGAAATCCGCCGGAAAATTGTTTATTCTTTTT